TGCCTCTATCCACTTCTCACGGTCTGCTGGAACCCATTTCCGTAGTCAACGTCCTATTAAAGCCATCCCGCTACTTGTGAAGGCTTCTGTGACGTCATTTCCAGAGTCGAATGCTGCAGGTGCCCTCACATTAGGCCATGGGATGAAGTTGAAGCGGCGCGAGTGCGCCAAACGTCTTTCAATCCTCTTCTCGTCGGATGGAGGACGCACCCCCTTCCGTCTTCAGCACCAATTTTGGCAAGCAACGTGTACGGTTAGCAAATGATGCCAAACATGGAGGAGTTCGTCTTTTTTTTTTTAGTTGCTTTTATTCTTTTTGGGGGCCTCAGGAGCGTTGCTGTGAGAGCTAAAACACATCGACACCAACAGCAACGGTTTGACTTCTTTTTGATAAGTGTATCTGTGTGGCTATATGGAGGAGCACCGGCTTGCAGGTCAGAGAGTTGCAGCGCTGTGTCCTGACGGGGCTGGTTTTGCTCTCCCGCACGACTCCTTTTTCTGCTTCTTTTCTCTCCATCCATCTTTGCTCCCGATGGGCTGCCCTGCCGGGGACTGGTGTGGAAGCTTCTTTGCTTGCAACAAACACAAGCATGCACGCACTCCCAGCTGCTGTGGCAATGCCGCTTCGAGTGGTTGCCACGCTTCTCCCCCGCAGACGGTCTCCGCCGTGACGGAGGCGATGCTGGTGTGCAACAAGTAGTGGATGAATTTGCCGCCGTGCGCCGCGCTGGGCTCCTCGGAGGAGCTGCCTTGCTCCGTGTCTTCGCTGCGCCTGCAGCAGTCTACCGCGCGGCGCTACTCACTTGCATATGATCGTATTGTTCTGGAGGGGCGCTGGAGCGGCAGGTGGTATCCTTCTGTGAAGAAGGCCGCGGGGTTGCGCTGCTTCGTCTACACACCGCGGGACTACGCTGAGACCCGCGAGCTGTGGGTGCACACGGCGGTGAATGAGTTGCGGTGCTGCCTCCAGGCAGAGAATCCGCGCATGGTGCGGCGGACGGACGGCGGCATTGCTACATGGCTGCAGGAGTGTCTTCTTCACAGTGGGGCTTTGCACCGCTGCTGCGATACGTTGTTGCAGGCGGCGCAGGCGGATGCCGCCAAAGCTAGGTGGCGAGCGCCTTCCCGGGCGACAGCGCTGCGGGAGCTCGCATGAAATGCATCTTCCGCTGGGTTCCGGAGTAGTACCGTGGAACGGCTTTGGCGCGGCGCCGACACGTCGCCTACTGCCAGAAAACGTGGGTGCCGGTGGGATTAGGTACATAAGGCACAAAGGACCACTTCATGGTAGTTTTGGGGTAGAGGGCGAAGGCGGATACCGCGGCACCGCCGTTTTTTTTTTTTTTTCACTTTTTCACACGCGGGGGAGGGGGCGAGGGGCGTTGTGCGCCTTGCTCCATCTTTTCTTTGGGGGGCGCGTTGTGTGCGTGCGAGTACCGCAGGCCAACTGCGCGGGTGACGGCGGTGTGGCAGCACACATAAATGCAGCCGATTCCACCACGACGACTGAAGGAGGCGGAGACATCTGCAGGCTGCCCTCGCAGGCTGCGCCCCCGTGCGGCCTAGTCGTGTGGCAAACAGTTTACATCGCGGAATTCACGTGCACCGCATCACGTGCTGGGCGCAGCGTATATTTGCGTCGCGGAGGACAATGCGGTGGCGTCCCTCCTTCTTGCGGGTGAACGAAGAGGCGGCGGGTGTTCTGTTCCTTCGCACCTCAGCGAATTGCAGCGCAAAATGCCACTGCAACGAGGCAGTCAATTTCACTATGAGTGGGTGATATTTGCGTGTGACTACGCACACAAACACACACACACACATACACAGAGAGAGAGAGAGAGAGAGCTGTGGGGATCCGAATGTCAAGTGCAATATGAGAGGAAGATAGAAGCCTCGTCGCAGTTGTTGTGTGTGCCGTGCAATTTGCACGGTTTGCCTAGGGAGATCTAATTTGCCCTCGTTGTTTGTGTGGGAGGGTGCCGTGATGCATCACGCTTGCGTTGTGTGCGGGATTGGGGGTGCCTATGCGTGTTTGTGTGTGAGGTGTGTGCCGCGTGCCGTGTGTGGGTGGCCTCTCTCTCTTTTTTCGTTGCGGCTGCGTGGAGTCTTGCCTGTGCTTATTTTGTTTCTCTTTTCTCCCTCTCACTCTCCTTTTGACTGGTGCCTGGTGCCCAGCTGCAGCTCAGGCCAAGCCAAAAACAAAATACGAAGGAAACAATGCCTGCAAAGGGAGAGAGGGTGCATGCTGGTAATAGGAAGCAGCGTCCCGCATCTGATGTGCCGCAGGGAGGAGAGCGTCAGCTGATGTTGGGGTTTGATGGCAACAGCCAACAACCCGCACCGCAGCACCGAAGAGTGGAGGAAACTCTGCAGCAACCAAAGTGGACGCTTGCAAGCTCTATCGAGGATGCCCGTAATGTGCGTGTTGGCCAAAGCAATATAATTTTGCTGAACGACTTCCTTTGGCAGTACGTTGGCCCCAACAGAGCGGTGGGTGAAGACCAAAATGTGGTGATGGAGGTGTTTGTGCAGCAGCCCGCAGAATACGTTACAGAGCAGAGACGTCGTGAGGGAATCCTCAATTCCACCAGGATATCAGCTTTTTGAAGATGCACGCAAGCTTACGGAGTGCATGGTGGGCACGCTGCGAGACTGGAAGGAATTTACAGATAAGGAGTATTGTCTCTGCTATTACACGAACAAAACTGAAGGCAGCTCTTCAACTAGCGTAGGAGGAAGGGGCAACACGGGAAACCGAAATGCGCCCCAGAGGACCATCACCGGAGGCATTCTACGAGTCCGTGTTTAACGCAACGTGGAGTCACGTCATGGGATTTCCCGAGGGCGAGGGGGAAGACATGGTGGTGATAGAGGGCCAACGGCCACAAGAGTTATTATGGGAGTACACGCAGACTGTGTGTACTTTTTTCTCAGTGGGTGGTGATGAGGAGCAATTCCGTCCACCACGCCCACGACTCATGATCCTTTCCTCTGAAAAGCGATGGCCGTACTCGCTGAACCATTCAGTACGTATTGCCGACTGCTGCATTAACATTGAGGTGCATCGGGTGTGGAAGATCGTCGAGGGTGATCTAAAAGGAGTGTTTCCCCCTACAGAGAGAGACGCACCTAAAATGGGACGTCGTCTTTTGATTGGAACCCCCGGGATAGGGAAGTCAATGGCGGCTGGCTCCTACCTCCTTCATCAGCTGCTGCACTACGACGCCACGAAGCTCCATGTGGTTATGTACTGCTTTGGAAGGGGTTTCGCATACTTGTTTGACAATACGGCACGAATGGTGACAATATACGAGGGTGAGAATAATATTAGAGGGGTTATGGTAAATTTGGCTGGGAGTGGAATGAAGGGGTATATCATCATCGATATGGCAAGACAACTTAAAGAACCATCAAATGATGTTGTGCCCTCCCCTGAGTGGGGCATCATTATGTTGTCATCCCCGCACGAAGATAACTTCAAAAGCATGGGCGGAGCTGGAGGGTGCTATCAAAATTATCATGAATTGCCCCGATGAAAACGACGTGAAGGCGATGTGTGCGTGGAGGACGTGCAATACGACTCAAGAGGAGCAGGTGGAGTATTGGAGAAGGATGCACATGCGCATGGATGACGTCGGACCGATTCCACGATGCATCTTTCAATTCAATGAATATGAGACCCGCGTGCGTGACATCAAGAACATCCTGGCAGGTATCGACGCCTCAAATGCTGTACATTATGGGATGATTGGAGGTAGGGAAATGTGTCCCTCGAATGACGCTTCTCACAAACTTGTGAAAGTTGTCAGATTAATAACACAAAAAGATGTTGAGGAGTTTGTTAACCTGCCGGCCTGTTTTTCCATTGAAAGCAAATTAATTGGAAGGTTGCTCGAAGTGGATGAGGAGAATGACATTATTTTGTGACTAAGCAAGAACTATAAAGTGTTATTGCCGGAACTTTTGGAGCGGTATACTCTGCACGCATTCCTGCGTAGAGGCTTTGTGGAAAATGTAGTGCCGTGCCTCAACGAGTTGCCTCCACCAGGACGTCGTCGGCAACAGAGATGTGTGCTGCAATCGAACCTCGAAAAGCATCCAAGCATATCTGTTGCATTAATAACTCTGGAACACAATCCTCCGATGTTGGATGTACAATACAAGGTGCTATACCTAACGGAGAGCAGAAATTTTCCGTTTGTGGACGGTTTTTTCTTCGTTGGTGCACCGCGGAGGACGATGGTTGCGGTGCAGGTGAGACGACGAGGGCTGAGCATGGCACCAAAGCCAGCACGGTGAGGCGGTTCAACAAACTTCTACGGAGTTATTTTAATGACTGGGAAACTTTTGCGGAAGACTTGTCGTGGGAGATTATTTACGTGCATCATGAGGACAGTACGGCAATAAACGCGTGGCAGGGGTGTGTTGTCGTCGCGCACGCAAATGCAACGGGCAGCAGTGAGCGTGAGGACCCTCAGGCCATTGCGGCATTTTGGAATCAGCAGGTGAGTCAGTGCCAGCTAGCGGTATCAGCTGAAAATTTCAGAAGTGAACGACAAACCCAACGTGGGCGGCAACCAGAGGGAGAAGGAAAAGGAGGAGGGGAATAAACAGCCTGAGTTTACTGGTGAAATATTTTAGGGAGTATGATATATTGCCGAGTGTGTTTGTGTGTGGGTAGGAGGCGTAATTAGGGACTCGCTCTGTCGTGCGCCAAATGATTGTTATGGCCAGCGCTACCACAGCAGCACCTTTTTTTTTGTTGTGGTTGTGTTGTGGTTGCGAGTAAAATTGTGTGGGGAATGATGGCGCCTTGTGGGTGTACGCCGGCAGTATTCCATTGGTGAGATCTCCTCGCTGTTCCCAGTTTGTTGCTGCAGAGAGTTTGGGCGAGAGGGTAAGTTTTGCATGCTGAGTGGACTCACCGGCAGGAAGGCAAATGCGGCGGCCACCACAGCCCAGAGGTCAGGGGCAAACCGAATTATTGTGATTGTTTTTGTGCGTTGGCGTGGTGTTTTTCTCTTTTTGTTTTTTGGGTGCCATCGTTTTTGGTTCGTCTGTGCTCCAATGGGGGATGCCGCATGCACCGCTGAGAGCCTCGAGCAAACACCGTTGGCGTCTCTCTTTTGTTGGGTTGCCGTCCTGGGCGCATGCGCCTGTTCCGTCTTGTTCGAGTTGCAAGCACTGACCAGGCAGTCTGAGGCTACGGTTGCGCTGGCGTGTCGCCCTCGCTTGTGAGCCGAACGAGGCAGCAGGAAAGGGGGCTGCATGCATCGTTATTTATTTTTTGATATATATATATATATATATTTAATGTTGCGCCCCACTCCTGCTGCGGTGCGCTGAGGGGAGTGGGGGGGCGTTGGGGAATTTGTGGGGGCCGTGATTGGAGGTCCCCCCGGCATGCGCACTGCGTGGTGCTGCTGGCAGGGTTTGAAGGGGCTGGGCGGAGGGGACGGTAAACGAGGTGTTCATGAATTTGTTTTTTATTTTTATTTTTGATTTCTGCGGGAGGTGTCCCACACTGCCGACTCTCCGTGCGAGTGCGTGCGGGTGGGTGTTTCTTCGGGCGGCGGCGAGTGTGTGATCGTGCGGCCCATGCGTTCGTTGGTGCGGTCTTCGTTTTTGGATTGTCGCTGTTATTTGCGGGGTGCCCAACTGTGGGCGAGGGCAGTGCCTATCGTTGTGTTTTTTTTGTGTTTTTCTTCCCGCGGAAAAGGTCTGCGCCACCACTACTACTGCCACCGCCATTGATAATGCCGCTGCTGATGTTCACACGGAAGCAACACGGGCAGTTTCTTCCGGCGATGTGCCAGCCACGCCGCGGCACGCCGATCCTCCCACTTGCGGTGTTTTTGCTGCTGTTGGTGTGTTGCGCCGCTGGCTGTCTCGCCGTCGCTCCCGCTCGGAAGCACCGCTGCGGGTTTGACGAGATGATGGGGAGGTGGCCGCCGGCGACTGCGGTGGTGCGTGATGTGCCGCGCAGAGGACAGGGCGCGATGCAGGCGTACACCGTCGCCGCACAGGGCGTGGGGAGTGAGTGGGCCCCGATCCGCATCAAAGTGTCCGCGAAGGACATGGACAATCAATCGAAGCACTG